TCCAAGTAGCTGAGATTATAGACATAATTCACCTCGTCTGGCTTCCCCCTCCCCACCAGTGCTAGAGAATGAACCCAGGACCTTGCACACACTAGGCAAGTACTACTGAGCTCTGTACATCCCAAGTTTTTTTTTCCTTTTGTGGAAGTACTGGGGTTTGAATTCAGTTATTAGGCAGGCACTCTATCATTTGAACCATGCCCTCAGCCCTTTTTGGTTCAGTTATTTTTCAAATAGGTTCTGGCATTTTTGCAAAGGCTGGCTTGGACTGTGATTCTTCTATTTACACCTCCTGTGTAGCTGGGAAAACAGACGTGTGCATATGTAGACAGACATAGATATCACCTACTTACACCCTTGTCCAGTATTCTATACTTTCCTTTTTTCATTTATAGGCATTTCACAAATACTTTTTTTTTTCAGTACTGGATTTGAACTCAGGGCCTACACCTTGAGCCACTCCACCAGCCCTTTTTTGTGATGGGTTTTTTTGAGATATGGTCTCTCTTGCAAACTATTTGCCTGGGCTGGCTTCCAACCTCGATCCTCCTGAGTAGCTAGGATTACAGGTGTGAGCCACTGGTGCCCAGAATACTTTTTGTTTTCCATGTTGTATCTTCTTCCTATCTGTTCCATGCTTTTTTTTTTTTTTGGTGGTATACTGGGGTTTGAACTCAGGGCTTCAATGCTTGATAGGAAGGCGCTTTACTACTGGAGCCACTCCACCAGCCCTGTTCCATGTGTTTAAGGACATCTTTTATCATACAGAGCAGGATATAGACAATTCCTATTTGTTGGAATATATGGAAATTTTGTTTCCTAGTAAATGGTCAAATTATAGAAAATCCTATGTTTGAATATATATTCTGGGATGGGATGGGGGAATGTAGCTCAGTGGTAGAACACATACCTAGCATGAGGGATGCTCTGGATTTAATCTCCAGGAGGGCCAAAAAAAAAAAAAAAGAAAAAGAAAAGAATACACATTCTGTCTACTGGTTACAAAGTTCGACTCATATTTATTAGCTCAAACTCCTTAAACAGTTACTCAAATCATCCTTTCTTGCTCCTTTGTCTATTTTATCTTGAGACAGAATATAAAGTCTCCTACTTCTTTGGTTTATTAAATTCTCATTGTGTCTTAATAATTTTTGCCTTGTGAATTTCAAGGTTACATTGTTAGTTACTCTAAGCACATGATTACAAGAACTTCTTTGTGACTTTTAACTTTTATCAATATAAAATGTCTCTTCTTGTTCCATTAAAAGACACAAAGATCAAATCAAAACAAAAACAACCCACCAGTTCTCACAGTAGGAAGGCTGTGGGTAGAGCCAGAGTCAATGTATCAACTTTGCCACTCTGTGGGCTGCAGGACTAGGTAATTTCCTTAACTGCCTTCCCTATAAAATGGCTCGATTTTATAACTCTGTATTTTTTGGTTCTAGAGATTGAACCCAGGTTCTCATGCATTCTAAGTACACTCTGTACGACTGAGATGCACTCCAGCCCTGGCTAAATTTTAAAGTGATTCTTTCAGTACTCAAAACTCTGTTATCAGAGGACATTGGGGAGGCTGTGGGGTGGGAAGAACTTACCAAAGCTGTAACTTCCAGTTAGCATCCGACTGGCTGGCAGTGAGGGTGGAGAAGGGCAAGGGAGGGTGGAGGAAGGGAGAAAGAGAGAGCGTGAGTCACTGGCTTGTCCCCAGACATCTGGTCTTTATGGCCCTTCAGTTGTCCTCTCTTGCGTTCAGGACATCCTAAGGAAGAGAGGCAGCTCCAAGGCTATGAAGACTGATGTCTGCGGGCTTAGGGAGAAACTGAATGGTTCAAAAGGACTTGAGAGTCTCCTGTAATTGCTAACAACACACCATGGGGGTTTAGACCTTTGTTCTTAAGAAGAATGGGTGAGGACTTCTGGAAACTACCTTGAACTTGACCCAGCTCCCTGATCCTTTAGGGGCAGTGTATCACACAGGCAATCAGAACATTAGAGAAAAGATCCTGCCCATGCCCACATTTTTCTAGGACTTAGGCCTCCTGTATTTGTCAGAAATT